CAATCAAAATGCTCTTTAGAAGGCAGGATGGCGAGACTTCATCTTATGTGATTTAGGTAAAAGTTTACAGAGCAAATTAGTTTCTCATTAAACAGTTAATGCACAAGTTTTTTTTGAAACATTGGTTGTAATAGATGTGTCCACACTCTCCCCTTCTCCGTCCCAGGTTCCCTGTTTCCATTCGTCCACTTTTCCTGTCCCTTCCTGCCTTCTCGTCTTTGCTTTTGGGTTGGTGTGCCCATTAGTCTCGTATACATGATTGAACTATGAAGCACGTCCCTCACGTGTGTTATTGTTGGCCCTACGGACCTGTTGAGAGCACGTGGAATAGGGATATCATTGTGGTCATCTCGGGAAAATACAATCTGTCATCCTTCAAAAGAGGGGTTGAGGTTGGGATGATGGATGCCACAAGGAACACCTTGGTCAGTTCCTTGTCAAGACCGCTGCATGGAACCTGTCTCAGAAAAAAAAAAAGGGGGGGCCAGAATAATAAGATCTCAACGGAAGAGGAAAACTTGTCATGTCTCAGATTTCCCCATTGGTTTTGTCCCTTCTCATCACAAACATACAGTCAGCCTCTAGGAAGGAGGCAGGGGCCAGGAGCAGAGGAGAAACTAAGTCACAGACAGCAGTGCCTGGCGTTGGGCCCACAGAAGTGAAGAGCTCAGGGCTGAGAGGCCCTGGAACCATGGTGTGTGCTGGACATGGTTGTTCAGAAGTGGGAAGGGGAGGCACATTATTGGTGTGGGCATTTCTCCTGCCCTCCACTCTCCCCACAGCTGGCCCCAGACTGGGGGGGAAGATAGGAGAGGCACCCCTGCTCTTAGCTGTGTTTCTGGGTGTGTTGCTCTCCCTGCAGGATAATCACCCCTAGTCTCCTCCTCCCCTCCTCCCCCACAGGCTTCCTCCATCCTCTAAAGAAGAAACCACGAGCCCCTCCCAGGGTCTAAATCCTTCTTCAGTCAAAGCTACTTCCCCTGCAAGAAGGAGAAAGGAAGAGCTTCATGTACTCTGGACAGGGACTAGCTGTAAATCCAGGGGCCCTCAGTAGACACTGACTCAGGCTCATTGTAACCACTGACACCACTGGAGTGGGGAAAACAGGGCCCCCATCCCCTGGGACCTCCCCCAAAATGCAGTGCTGGCCCTATGGAGCTCTCCCCCTGACTCCAGCTGTGCAGCTTATCTGAGCCCAGAGGTGAACACACCCTCCACCATTGCAAGGTTCTGGAGCAGAAGGCTTCACCCAGCCCATGTCCCCGGGACTCCTGGATGAGGACAACCAGAGCCCCTGAGATGGAGTGTAGGGCCCAGGGGACAGGACCTCTCCAAACCTTGTTGTTGCCTGGAACCCTCATCTCAGTAACCTCTTAGATTATGTCAGGTTCCTATTTCACAATCTAGAAGCAGAAATTGCCATAATCCCACAGCCCTTTCCTCTCATCACAATCACTTCCTCTGACACCACAGGAGAAAAGGCTGCATCTCTCCCAGAAGAGCAGATTCCAGGGCCTGCCCAGGGCAACACTGGCACAGAGCAAGCTCCAGGGACCACCATGATGCCCGTCCCTGCCACTGAGGCCCACCTGCCTCTGCCTTCCCTGCTGCTGCCTCTGCTGCTGGGACTCACGGGTGAGTGTGGCCGTCCTCGGGCACCACTGTGCAGGGATGCTTACCTGAGCCTGAGCCTGACAGTGGTACCCCTCCCCACTTGGCAGTGGGGCAGATGGGTCTCTGTCCCGCACCACCTGCCTCCTGTTCCCCTCCTTCTTAAATTACTTCACAGTCCTCAGACCTCTTTCTCCTCTGCGTCTTCCTCTTCAAGACATTTCCCCAAATAGTTGTTCATAACAAGGGACTCCCAGAGAAATCCCCCCAGAAGTCTTACTTCTGCCCCAGGGGGGTCTTACTCCTTGGAGGGGTCCTTTCCTCTCCCACCCAGGTCCAGGCAGGGTTTACCTGACAGGACTTTCAGTCCTTTGTCCAGTCCTTCCCCACTTCCCACAGAGTCACTGGGTGGTGCTCGGCTACTAACTGAAGGAAAGGTTAGTTGTTAAAATCTACCAGAGGCACCTCAGAAGAAAGGCCTAGCAATCTACTTCAGAAAATCACAGTCATTGAAAGCCCTGTGGAGCACAATTCTACTCTGACACACATGGGGTCACCGTGAGTCAGAATTGCTGTGGCAGGCAACTGCTTTTTTTTTTTTTTTTCACCTGCTATACTCCTAACACCCTGTGAAGGCTCCATGACCCTCTGAGGCTTAACCTGCAGGATCTGGCACCATCCTGAAGCAGGAAGTGAGGGTGCAGCATCTGACTCCTTGGTCTTGCTGAAGATCATAGAACCTGGGAGGCAGGGTTGCATGTATATATACACATGTATGTATGTGTGTGTATATACATAGATGTGTGTGTGTGTATATATGTGTATAAATATATGTATGTATGTATATGTATGCGCATGTGTGTATATATATACATACATATACACGCATATATGTATATATATGTATGTCGTTGTTGGGTGCTGTCTAGTTGATTTTTGACTCTTAGTGACTCTGTGTGACAGAGTGGAACTGCCCCATAGGGTTCTCTTGGCTGTAATCTTTGCAGAAGCAGATCACCAGGTTTTTCTCCAATGGAGCTGCTGAATATGTTCAAACTGCCAACCTTTTGGTTAGCAGCAGAATGCTTAACCATTGCACCAACAGGGTTCCTACGTATATGTGTATATACATATTTTTTTTTTTTTCCTTTTGCCATGGACTTGACTCTGGCCTATGATGACCTCATATGTTTCAGCATAGAACTGTGCCCTACAGGGTTTTCAGGGGCTGATTTTTCAGAAGTAGA